CGCGCCCCGTTTGCGCAACGTAGGGAGAACCCTCATAGTAAGTTCCCGGATAGTGGAGAAAGGTTCGTGTTGAGAATAAACCCAGTTTGGAAGTTCTAGTCTCTGAAAACGCACCAGCAAACCGGCCCGAGTGATTCACTCGGGCATTCCTCCGCACAAAAGAATAGGGAGACTTTGTAACCCTATCTTCATGGGTTTGGGTTACATTATTGTATCTATACTGACAGCAGCAGCAGCAGCATAAAACTAGTTTGTCTGACACAAGTCGGCTTCAGTACTGCCTGTGTGAGAGAGAGGTTTTCGCAGGTGCAATACCACTTTAGGCACCTTAGGTATCACAAAGTGCAATGATGCAAAAACCCTAATCCTAACCCTAACCCTAACACACTTCGTGATACCTATAAGGTTATACTTTATGACTTAGGGTTAGGGTTAGGGTTTTTGCATCGATTCTTTGATATACGGAAAGTCTGTGCATCAATTGATGATACACAGAAATCTGTGCATCACTTCGTGATACCTAAGGTGCCTAAAAACTTGTGGATTTGCGCCGTTTTCACATTCCCTGCAGTTGTGTTATATCAAGAGCTAATAATACCTAGAGTGTACAACGGAAAAATGGGAAAATAGTGCTATTTCACGACAACATTATTCTACTTTGCCTGCGAGTCTAGAATAATTTTATGGTATTGCATTAAGCAGAATTCTTTGCTCTCTAAAACAAGACCAACCGCTTGTCAATACGATACTCCTAGGCTCAGATATTGGCTCGTAAACTTTCCCTCCCACAGGCCTCACGGCGCCTTGCATCCACAATATTCACTATCCTTCTCGCCTTTTGCAGGTTAGGAAAGTCGCTTCGTGAGAGTTCGGGTTTTTCCGCGATAACTTTATGAATGAACGGCGTTTCGGTTATCATCGGTGACTTTCGAGGGCATCGCCTATGCCCTTATCTTCCATTATCTTTCCTAGCACGGCTAATGCCCGTCATGATAGAGCCGGAAATTTTTTCTAAATTAAGTCTCTACAACGCAGCTCAGTTACTATATGGTGTAGTAAGAGTACAAAATTTGGGCATGTGACATCAATTATCAGCGCTGCAAGCGGTGACGGAAACCGATAGTCAAAATGCTTAGAGGCGAGTAGGATGCTAACTGAGTTGGATTCGAGGCGACGTGAGGCCTGTGGGAGGGGAGGTTTAGGAGCCAATATCTCAGCCTAGGAGTATCGTATTGACAAGCGGTTGCTCTTGTTTTAGAGAGCAAAGAATGGACTCGCAGGCAAAGTAGAATAATCATGTCGTGAAATAGCACTATTTTCCCATTTTTCCGTTGTACACTCTAGGTATGTATTAGCTCATGGTATATATATACATATATATATAAGAGGTCAGCGACAGCGTGGCATAATGATACAGGGCTAACTAGAGTATGAGATCTCAACTTGCAAACTATACAGCTAGATAGTTGATGGATTGTGACTAAATACTGAAACGTACAGATGCGTATGTACACAGATCCAAGAGTTTCTGGTCCACCGACGTTCAACAGCTTGCTAACCCCTGTTTTTAACGGTATGTCCCAACATCGATAGCTATCAGGAGTAGATAATAGAGAAGGAGTGTGACATCAATAAACAAGGGAAATTCGTCATTTACTAGCCTTTAAAATACCTACGATTTACTACGCGTAACTCATCCAACTTGAGCTCAAATTGTACACAGTACATTCGCCTAGCATCGTGCGAAATCGTTTCCTTGTATACACAAGCAATCTGGAGATACAGACTAAAAGACTCGGCGAGGCATGTGGCTCTGCGCGTTGCTACTAGCTGCCTTTTGTTTGAATATAGGTGGGCAATCGGCTTAGATTAATGGTCAAAGAATGGATAATCGCGTCGTACGTTTTAGTCTGTATCTCCGGATTGCTTGTGTAAACGAGGAAACAATTTCGCACGATGTTAGGCAAATGTACTGTCTATCGTGCTCAAGTTGGATGAGTTACGCGTAGTAAATCGCAGGTATTATAAGGCTAGTAAATGACGAATTTCCCTTGTTTATTGATGTCACACCCCTTCTCTATTATCTACTCCTGATAGCTATCTATCAGTATATGTAAATACAGTTCAGGCTGGAATGCAATTTGTTAGTGTTATCTGATGGTGATAATGGGAACTGAGCAAAATGCTAACTCTCTCTATTGTTTACCAGCCCGTACTAGATCATGAGATTATTTATATTACACTGCAAATCCAATTTTATATTATAACATCCAGGGTTCTCCCCAGGATGAAATTGAAACAGGGGGAGGGGAGGGGGAGGTGGGTCCGGGGGGGCGTGTTTTTTACCGTACCACTAATTAATGCGTAAAATCGCCACCACACCATAGACGGTATTTGGGGTTCTTGTATATATAAGATAGCCGAGTCTGTGTACAGTTAGTGTTGGGTTCGGGACAAGTTAACTGTTTGTACTTGTGTATGGTCTGCAGTGCATGCGTGGTACGGTAAAAATACACGCGTCGGTGGTCCTGGTCGAATGGGAATTCTTGACGATCGATTCCCGCGCTGTCAAACTTTTATTGTGGTGGAATTTAATCGCGGCGGAGGTAATTTAAACGGGGCGAAACGATTGAAACAGGAGAGTTTTCCCAAACGTGGCGCGCGTTTGCGCCCCGTTTGCGCAACGTAGGGAGAACCCTGACATCCTACGTTAAATCGTGATAAAATTAGGTTCTGCATAACCGTTTTTTTTGTATTAATCAGAAATCTGATGTGTCGTATATATAGATCGAACGATTGATTGTTATTCACATCTATCCCAATTACGTATACAAGTGTGCGCACATTGGGGCGATGACGATGGACAGGTTCATGTCGGGCCGTACATCTGTGACCCATAATCACCTCCATGGATCTTTGGCATTATCTATTTGATTAACAGTGTATCTACCAGCAGCTCTTAGGTGTGAGGAGGTGTTGTGAGGAGCAGGTTGCATTGTGATTATAGTCCCTGGTACAGCGCGGGGCAATGTAGCCGTCGTCGCTACAGCGAGACCTGGTTGTTGCGTCGGCGATATATGCCGCATGAAATATGTACGAAATCGTTCATTATACATGACGTTTTATTTTCCACGATGTTCAGTTCTTGACGAACTAGTTTCTGCGATTTTTAGCGTGCTGGAAAGCGCAAACTGTGCTTTAGAGCTGAGATGTGAAAGTAGATCGTAATGCGGTACAGAGACACAATCCCTCATCTTAAAATTTGAAAAAGTGAAATTGCTACAATGTCAATGCTGTACTGGAGTAGTTATGGTCTATATTTATCCCACTCTTCCATTTACTGAATTATTACTGTCCTTACAAACCATAGTACCATTTAGAGTGTATAATTTTCTTACCAAGTGTGATTATTCATATTAAAAGTTTAGTTTTGAAATATAAAGGTGTTAACTTAATAATGATGACATATTTAAGTGAGTATTTACATCGAGTTGTCAGAACTAGTTGTTACATCGGTGGATAAAGTATTGTTACATATTTAATACTATACAAAGTTAGAAGTCGACCAGGATTGTCAGATCCATAGTATACTTTAACTGCCCTCGGTTGCCATTGGCAACACATGTTAAACACTCGGTAATAGTTATGTGCTGTGGTAACGTGTCAAGCAAACTCTGTTAGTTTGTTATTAATGTGTCTCACGTACCCAACTACTCGCCACGTAGATTTTGGGAAATTTCCCGTTAATTTTCAATCGAGACATGATTTAGACATTGCGGCTGTTTTACAGATTTTATTCGTCTGTTTATCTCGAGTTTATAAGTAAACCGGTGTAGATGGAATAGGTGTGAAATACAACCCGTAAGGTAATTCCTCACGCCTGTGATTTGTCGGGGCAATCTCCGTTTACTAATGTTGCGTTAGTCTTCGTATGTATATAATGGGGCTTTTAACTCTATTGAATCTATTGAAAACTTGTAAATTCTGTCTATTGTGGTGCAAATTTGCAAGGGAAATGTTTTTTGAATCTTGTGTGTGTATGTGTGTGTATCATGTGTGGTGTGCGGTAGTGCGTTAATGTACATTGTACATTGCTACAGCAAGGTTCCATGGCCGTTTAATGCAATAAGACGGTTTTACATCTCAACTGTGCAGATGTCCAATTGAAACATACTCGGTGGACACTGAATATCTGTTGGAAGCGAACTCAGTTGGTATGAGTGACGGTGTCAGAATCAAGTCAAATACAATTGCTTTTGCTTTATATCTACACAGCCATTATTATGCCCTTGCATTGTCTGGTTAAAGACTAAATGCCGTAATGCACCACAACTTTATTGCGAGGTAACAGAATTGGTTTACCATGTTGTTATGTGCTATAACATAAATGTGAGTATGTTATCACGATGTAGGATCACAGGCTGTGAACATAGGGAGCATATATGTCGTAAATCATTTAAAATTATTACCTGTCAAATAAATGGAAAAATAAAAACACATAGACAAATTAGGTCTCTCTCATTAGCGGATTCATTAATGATTACTCGGGCATATATATATATATATATATAGATATTAGATAGATAGATAGATAAATAGAATAATCAGTGTTTTAAGTCGTGGTTTGTAGTATGACATGTGTCTAACTGTGATTTATTTTTCTAGGGAAGGGTCTACCAGTTTGATAAAGTGCTGCAGCCTAACATAACACAGGAAGCCGTGTATAATATCACTGCTGCCGCCATCGTCAAAGGTAATCGTGCTGACGCCTAGTTACACTGAGAGGGTCTATGTCCTCCGGGGTACTGCCGGAACGTACCCTGACGCCTAGTCACGCTGAGCAGGTCTGTCCCCCGGGGTACTGCCGGAACGTACCCTGACGCCTAGTTACACTGAGAGGGTCTATGTCCCCCAGGGTACTGCCGGAACGTACCATGGGTACGGTCCGGTATACAGGAACGTACCCTGGTACTGTCTATTATGCCGGACCATACCTCGCCTACTCCACTTAGAACGAGTTTAGGGAGTCGCCTACGCCTACTCCCTAACCCTAACCCTAACCCAAACCCTAACCATATCAGATAGTTACCAGGGTACGTTTCAGCAGTACCCTGGGGGACATAGACCCTATGAGCCATAGTTATAGCAGCAGGAACACATACACGCGTGTGTGCGTGTGGGGTGGGGGGGGGGTGATCGCCTCCCAATTGTAATTGCCTCCCAATTGTCCTTCGTAAAATAATTGGAATCTATTGATTTGTTTACTCTAGGTGAGTATTGTCTCCATGTGCACTGAGTGAGTGAGTGAGTGAGTGAGTGAGTGAGTGAGTGTGTGTGTGTGTGTGTGTGTGTGTGTGTGTGTGTGTTGTGTGTGTGTGTGTGTGTGTGTGTGTGAGTGTGAGTGTGAGTGTGGAGTGTGAGTGTGAGTGTGTGTGAGTGTGAGTGTGAGTGAGTGGAGTTGAAGAGTGAGAGTGAGAGTGAGAGTGAGAGTGAGAGTGAGAGTGAGAGTGAGAGTGAGAGGTGTGAGTGTGAGTGTGAGTGTGAGTGTGTCGAGTGAGTGTGAGAGAAGGTTGAGAGTGTGAGAGTGTGCAGAGAGTGTGAGTGTGTGAGTGTGTGAGAACGTGTGAGTGTGTGAGTGTGTGAGTGTGTGAGTGAGTGATAGAGGGAGGGATGGAGGGATGTATTAGAGCACATGGTACGGTAGGAGTGAGTGATAGAGGGAGGGAGGAGAGGGATGTATTTCGAGCACATGTAACGTGGAGTGAGTGATGAAGGGAGGGATGGAGGGATGTATTGGAGCAAGCCGCTGGAAGTGAACATGTACGTAGGAGTGAGTGATAGAGGGAGGGATGGAGGGATGTATTGAGCACATGTACGTAGGAGTGAGTGATAGAGGGAGGGATGGAGGGATGTATTGAGCACATGTACGTAAGGATGAGTGATAGAGTGGAGGCCGATGGAGGGATGTATTGAACACATGTACGTAGGAAGTCGAGTGGACTTTAGAGGGAGGGGTGGAGGGATTAAATTGAGCACATGTTACGTAGGAGTGAAGTGATAGAGGAGGGATGGAGGGATGTTATTGAGCACATGTACGTAGGATGAGTGAATAGAGGGAGGGATGGAGGATGTATGTGAAGCACATCTGTACGTAGGAGTGAGTGATAGAGTGAGGGATGGAGGGATGCTATTGACACATGTACGTAGGAGTGAGTGAATAGAGGAGGATGGATGGGATGTATTGAACACATGTACGTAGGAGTGAGTGATAGAGGGAGGGATGGAGGGATGTATTGAGCACATGTACGTAGGAGTGAGTGATAGAGGGAGGGATGGAGGGATGTATGTGAGCACATGTAATCGGTAGGAGGGAGGGATGGAGGGATGTATGAAACTACTATGTAACGTAGGAATGAGTGATAGAGGGAGGTGATGGAGGGATGTATTGAGGCACATGTACGTAGGAGTGAGTGATAGTAAGGAGGGGTGGAGGGATGTATTGAAGCACATGTACGTAAGGAGTGAGGTGATAGAGGGGGGTGGAGGGATGTATTGGAAACAAACACATGTACGTAGGAGTGAGTGATAGAGGGAGGGATGGAGGGATGTATTGAACACATGTACGTAGGAGTGCCTGATGCTGTATGTTTATTTTTTTAACAAAACCGATCACAGTAAGTCCATTCATATCAACCCAAACAAATTCTATCCGTCTCCTTCTGACAAAAGACATGAAAGCTTCCACACATGGAAAACTGGTTCCTTGGCCATTATAGCAGCAGAGTTGATAGCCAGTGACGAGAGCAACACGGAGTTTTATCATGGTATTTTATTCGCTATTGACGCAGGATTACTGCGATAAATCATAAATCATTTACCGGGTTGCTGAGCGATGGATGTATGATCGTTTGTTACGTATTGCTGATTAATATTCAGTGGAGACAGCTGCTGTTACTGCTGCTGCTGCTGCTGCTGCTGCTGCTGCTGCTGCTGCTGCTGCTGCTGGCTAGCTGATGAGCTATTGCAGCTCTCTCACACTGTACATGTCTCCCTATGTCGTGCATTATGCAGCTCCTGATCGGTTAGCAGAGCCTGGTGATGTGACTGTGATCGGTTAGCAGAGCCTGGTGATGTGACTGTGATCGGNCTCTCTCGCTCGCTCTCCCCTTCTCTCTCAGTGAAGCCTGCATATTATTATTTGATGAGTTGCTTACAAGTACAACGTGTTACACAGATTTCTCTCATATATTTTTGGTTGCAAGATTCTTTTTCGTGTTAATGCAAATTAACAATTCACGTTGATGTTCTACTCATGTTTGTAAAACCGTGCAATGACCTCGTAGTAAATGAAACCGCGGGGCGAAGGTCACAATTTATCGGATCAGCGCAAAATTAGATGAAAATATATCAACAACAGATCAGTGAGCGGAGACAAGGGTCGGCTGTACTGTAGCTCGCTGTACAGTAGTGCATGGATTGGAAGCCAGCAGCAGGCAGCAGGCAGCCACCCCCGCATCATGGAAGCCATCAGCAGACAGCAGCCAGCCATCCCCGCATCAAGCATCAGCATCAACATCAGCATCAGCAGTGATGCGGAAGATATTGTGTTCTCATCATACATGATTCACGTCGTGTAGGAAGGAAGCAAGTGCATGCTTCAGTCATCGTGCGCTCGCTCTCTTCTCCATCCCTCCTCTCTATCTCTTTTGCTTTCTCTCTCTGTCTCTATCTCTCTCTCTCTCCCTCTCTCTCTCTCTCTCTC